ATCATAGCTTCTTGATGCTCTGTCAATCTCTTTCAAAATATTAGTACATCACGAACGCAGCTCAGACGCCGCCTCCGAAAGCTGCCAACGCAGCTTCCATCTGCTGCCAAACGCAGCTCACATTTAGCTCCAAACGCTGCAAACGCAGCTCAGATCTAGCTACCAACGCAGCTCATGTTCGGCCACAAACGCAGCTCAGATCCAGCTGCCAACGCAGCTCATGTTCGGCCGCAAACCCAGTCTCCGAAAGCTGTCAACGCAGCTTTCATCCGTTGCCAAACATAGCCTCCGAAAGCTGCCAACGCAGCTTCCATCCGCCGCCAAACGCGGTTTCCATCCGCTGCCAAGCGCAGCTTCCAAGCTGCCACACGCAGCTTTCAATAAGATGCCAACGTAGCTTCCAAATTGCTGCGTTTGAGCTTCCAGACACTGCGTTTGAACGCAGAATTCATGCCAGAACGCGGATTTTATGTTTGACTCGTTCAAACACGAGCTGAACGGTTTTAAAACCGTTTCCCACGATCTGAGGGGATCACAACTCCACTCAGGAGTGATTTAAGGGGTGGTTATATCCCATTAGCCCCACTCAGGAGTGAATTAAGGGGAAAGTTACACCCCTTAATCCCCTATAAATAACTGAAAAATCAGTTTAGAGAGGCTGGCTTTTGGATCCTTCTCCTTGACAGCAAAGAAGAGATATTTGGCTTGTCTAACCAATTACGGTTAAGATCAATTAACTCATCAAGAGTTCTAAAACTTGCCACGCAAGTTCTCCACAACGTCAAATCGTGAGGAGAAGATTATATTCCAGTGAAACAAGACGTCGGATCGTCAACGAGAAGCAAACTCGACGCGAACAATCAAGGGAGACATCCCATCGCCACCGTGAAGAACCCAGATTTAAACAAAGGTGAGGATTCAGATCAATCATCTTCTCTTTTATAATCAGGAAATCCAATTATAATCGAGATCGAGAGAATACAAATCAAAATTTTTTTATTCTTTTTACTACAAATTTTCCACCAAACAATACCACAAATATTCGTTGGAAAGCTTGTTGGCTTTATAATAGGATCGGCCCAAGTATCAAACCTGAAAACAGAGTTAGGAAAATCTGTAACCTGTAACAAAAGCTCCCTTTACCGATTTTGGAGAGACCGGACTGCAGCAGGTTGACAGAGAGCTAATGCTCTGTTTTTCGGATGATGAACACAGGCAGATTTTCCTCTGTTTTGTTGAAAAACACACGCAGCAAAGGAGCCTGTTTTGCTGACGAACACAAAGATGGAATAGAAAACAAGGAGCTGGAACTTTTCTGAAGTTTTTATTCACGTTGTTCTCAACTCATCAATATGGTTTACATATATATATAGGATTAAGATTACAACTCTAATCTTATCCAATAACTAGAAAACTATCTACTAACTAGTATTCTACTCTAATTAGAATTCTACTAACTAACAATCCGGACTGATTACAACTCACAAAGCTGTCGCATACTGCTTACGTGATACGTGTAAATGTGTAATTTAACATTCTTTTCCTTTATTTACTAATTTGTTATTCTCTCCCTCCCCTTCATTTTCAAGGGGAGTTTAGATCTACCCTTAAGATTTTTAGTGCAACCTTTTGAAACTAAACACATATATACATATGAGAGTTTGGCATGCTCGAATTTAGATAATCAGAAAAAAGAAAATCAAAGAACTAACAAAATATCTATCACTGTATATTCTCATAAATCCTATTCAGAAACTAAACAAGAGAGAGAGAGAGATTAGTAGTATTAATACCTTTCAAATTGATCCAAATCCTCTACATGAAGATCCTTCATAACCTGAATCTGAACCTCCATCCACTTCAACGACTGCATCTCATCATCATCAACGTCCAAATGCTTGTAAGACCAAGATAATCGCCAAATTGTATCCTTAAAAGAAATCTTTGATTGTGTTAGATCCCGTTGCCGACCAAGCCTCATTAAACCATCTTACGATTCATTCTTTCTTCATAGATTCTAAGAACAAGCCCTACAATGGTCTCAGCAGTATCTATCGATCGAACGATAACCATTTTCTATTTGCTTACAACTCCGCGTCTGGTCCTGAAGAATTGAAGGCATCTGTCAGCATCCCAAAGTAATCTTTTGCCATATACAGGTGCTTGTAGTGACTCTTGTGCTTGTAGCCTTCGGCGTATCCAAGTTCTTCTTCAACTCGACCGCGTCGGTGAAGTACTGTTTGCGACTGGTAATCTTGATGGATGGATAGCTAGTGTTCATGAAAAATATTGAGGAGATGGTTCTTTGGATATTCAGGGGTTTACTAATTACCCTTTGCATGGATTGAGTTGGAGGTTGATAATGTTGATGAAAGGTTTTTCAGGGGTTTTCTTGTTTACTTTTCTAAGAGTTAGATGAGATTTTTGTGGGGATGTCCATGACAGGGTTTTGGGGGGGTTTCTTTTTCTGGAGATCACCATTTAGGAA